AGATACTAAAGAGTAAATTTATTCAATAAAGTCGTCGTTGGCTTCCACCACGCCCTCTAAACGACTTCGGAATCTCCTGCAATTCTTCGGGACGGTCTCCTTGTTTAAGTTGGTGAATACCACCATAATCCTTTCCTTCAGTTCATGTTTGGTATTGCAAGGAATTTTCTTGGTCTTCCACTCAACTGCGCCTGACACATATTAATCAAGGGGGTTGCAATCTGGGAATTTAGGTGTCCAGATGTAAGGGGTAATGTGGTCGTAGAAATTCTCTGACTACTATGACTGGGTTTTCCTACCTGTGTGACATGATGTAGATTCCTGTTGCAAGATATAATGTCTTCCAGCAGTCACCCTCTTGACTCAGGGCAGCAACACCACCTCAAGACACTTGATGTAGGCCTCCATGTTGAGTCTGAGGCCCTGTGTGAAGATGAATGGAGGCATAACATCACTATTACTGGTGATTACTCCAAAAACCTTCGTAATCACCATTAAACTCAACCACCTCTTTCCGATCATCTGCATTGTCACCAGATTGACACCCAAACATCCTTAAATCTTCGTATTGGATCTTCCGAATGTCAAGCCGTACATCATGCCGTTTCCAAATTTCTGGTTGAGTGAATTACGTCATTATGCACTTTTTTTTTTTCTCATACACGGTGCACAATTGACCCTACTCTACAAACAACGCGAAATTAAAAATAAAAAATAGTGGTAATTTACCGACAGAACTCTGTATTTACATGCGGACTATAGTCCTCATCTTTGTTATTGTTATCACGTTTCGACTTATTTGCGTTCCTGACTTCATCTTGTGTATGCCGATCCGGAAATGGTTTATTAACGGCTTTAATACAATTAATCATCATATGATATTAATCAAATACAGAGAAAATGGTTACTGTAAGTATTTTGTTTGTGTTTCATGAATATAATTAAAATTTACTTTGATGCTGAGATAGAACATGTATATGGGGCGAGATTACGATATGCCATTCTCCGAAATGAATAAAGCCGACCATGTTTTAATGTCCGCGTTATCAATTTGGATCTTAATGGTTTCCAATTCGTGTTACTAAAGCCACTTAGAAGATATTTCGACGATGATTCTGGCTGGTTAGGCGCCGCTTGGCGTTAGAATTCACGGCAATATCGAAGTGTTCTGAAGAATTAGCTTGTTAATTTCTGATTTTTTTCTTCTTTCCTTGCAGACAGTTTTGCATTTAGCATAAGCACGATTAGAGACGAAATGAGAATGAATGAATGAAGATTATTCTGCGCCAATAATCAATATGAAGAATGTTGTTGTTCTGAAAATAATTGTATTTGAAAATGAGTTTTTAACCATGAATAGGAAAATGCATCTCATTCAGTGGCCCATTGTTCACCTCTAAATTTAGAAATCAACACTAGTTTTTCTTATAATTTATTTTCTTTTTTCTGTCTTTTCAAAAGTGAGATTATTTTTCTTCTGTGTACCATTAGCCGTCTAGAAAAAAGCATATAATCAAATTACAAATCTGTCCTATAAATAGATTTTTCATGACCAAAATGTTCTTTTTTTCGGGTTCTTTTTCCTGGCCCAAATGACAGGTTTTTCTTGTCAGGATGACCATTCGAAACTAAACCTGGTAGTCAGTTGGGTTGCTGACAAAATTCTGCTATTGTCAGACAAATCATTAAGACACCATTTTCATCTTGATGGCATCACAAAAAGAAACTGGTTACAAAATAAAAGAAATTCAAGCAAATGACTATTTCTTATTATATAATCTCAATTTAAAAACCTATTAAATCAGAACTATAATATAAGGTTTTTAAGGTTATACAAGCACATAGATACTAGATGGCGGAAAGAAACTGAGATGGAAAAGATTTATATTGAAATTATTTTTCTGTAAGCTGAATTCAAAATATGAATGAATGTGTTTGAAAGCGTCTTAATTTCATGATAAAATGATGGATTTCATATTGAAAATGATTAAAAAAACATTCACTTACTCAGAAAAAATCTTGTTTGGTTAAAAAAAAAAGATCAAGTTTTTTTTGTTTTTTTTATTTATCGCTGATGTCTTTCAGATCTCAATGTTCTATCCAATTAAATAAAGGCTTAAAGCAGTTTAATACATGTCAATTCATTCATTATAAATTAATATTCAGTTTCAAGATTACATGGGATGAAAAGAAATCACGATTCAACCCTGAGGTAATTTGAAATTGCCACTGACATTTTCAAGGTTTTTCAAGATTTTTCACATTTTTTCTACAATTGAAGACCTTTCAAAGGCTTTGTTTTAAATTCCATGGTTTTCAAGGTTTCAAAGTCCATTATTAAAACCCTACGGGAAGAAGGCTATCATAGCTATCCACAGCTTCCTTTTATTTGTAATTCTAAAATATTTTTGTCCCCTTACTACCCATCTTAGTCCATGATCTGTCATCCATGTTTGGGAGCTTACTAGAAGTTTCCATCTGCATAATTTGCCTTCAATATATCCTGTGAGTTTCAAATTTTCACAGCCTTTTTTTCTTATTATGTATCCCAGAAATTTCAACTGCCTTCTTCTGATTCTATGTAACTTTGAAAAGTGTTTGTTGGAAACTTCATAACTGAACAAAGAAATAAAATTGTGGAATTTTATTTTAATTTTTGTCGCTCAGCTATTCTCAGCAATCTTGTTTGAACGTTTGTGATCGACGTTCTTTCTTTTATATAAAAAAAAAACCTGCCTCGAACACGTTCAGGATTAATCCGATAACGAACTGAACGTCTTTTTTCAAACTGTGGTCAATCACTAAGTGACCAAATTACTAAAACTGTTGAACCAATGACCCATATTAAAACGTTGAATCAGCTGATGAATCATGAAATATCTGGTTCGTTTTCTTGTATTGAAGTGTTACGAGTTTGCACTTTGGGGAATAAGAACTGAATGATTACATTTAAGAAAAAAGTTCATGGTTTTAGATCCTCGTTTAATTGTGAAATGTTGCATGGCGCATTGCCAAAAGTTAATTTAAATTCGTAAAAAAAAAAACTCAATTTTTGTAAAAACAAAAATGTTATTGATGCACGCATAACTCGTCGGCACGAATTGTAAAATCGACGGTCGAGTAAACATTCCGGCATTGCTCAATGTGAAATTTTCGTAAAAATACTTTTGAAAAAGGTATGAATTCACCTCTGATACTAAGCCCCACTCACTTATGGGTTAAATAGGAAAGCGAATTGTAATCTATAGATTTGATAGGCAGCTAGTCGACTGCAAACAAGGTGATAAATCGACCAAGACGCAAATGATAAAAGATGAGAAAAAGGAAATTTGGCTAAGCAGAGAGTAAAAAATAAGAATTAAGATAACATTTGAGATTGCATTTAAATTTTTGAAGATCAAAATTTACTAAAAAGCAAGAGGTAGGAAAAGTGTTCCACAATTAATTGCGAGAGAACAAACATTTAGCATAGAACATACGATTACATATATTCATTTCAATTGTAAGATGATGAGACCTAGCCGCCAAATCTACTACTAAGTTTAAATTCATAAAAACGAGATGCGGTAAAGAAATCCCATCCGAACTATTACCATGAAAATACTTCTAGAAAAGACGCGGGGAAGATACGTAGTGCCAGGTGGAAAGTGACTGAAACCGAGATGCTAGATCAGGATTGGTAACATTGCAAATGCTTCTTTGGATTTTATCAAGAATCTCTAAATACATCGCAGAAGTACCAGACCAGATATGAAAGCAATATCTAATACATGAACCAATGGTAAACTTATAAATGTGTAGAAACTAGCAAGAAAAATTATCTAGAGAGTCAACTTTCATAGCCACAGAACCAGGAATTGATTCGATATAACTTTTCCACTTCATGTCAGCGGAAAACCTTAGCCGTGCATTGGATCACTCTAGTAGAGTTTAGTATCAGCCATGAATGGACATGCTACCAAAACTACAGCAGCATCACCAGCATTGTGCGGCTGTAGCCGTATTGACCACAGGGAAGTCGAATCGCACAAAGGAGGAAGAGGAAATGTTATTTAATTCCTCGAATCTTTGAAGACTTTTACACCACTATATATTTCTATGCTTACCGATGCTTCTGTCATCGGGATCCAATAATACAGCGCATTTTTTTGATAGTCTTGTAAGAGAAACGCGATAATAGTTCTATCTTGTTAATAAAAGCTGTAGAGAATACCCTTTACTTTATTCAGGGTATTGGAATTTTGAGATGATCTTCGCCTCAGACACATAACAAATAACCACATGGAATTGTTTTTAGAATGTTCTTGATCGTAAAGTGAATTTTTCAGCTCCCCCTCCGAGGATTGGTTTTATTCTGAGTCAGAAGCACACAATTCACCAACTCTCTTTTTACAGCTTCTACATTACAGAAGTCTTGTTTGCACAAAAATCTAAGCACTTCAATTATTGTCAAGTTCGTTCTTCTCGACCAGAAATTTCCAAAGACACGGCACATGACTGCGGCTGTGTCGTCTTCGAAGAACGAAAACAGCCGGAAATTGTCGAAGTTTCCTCTCCGCTGAGAACATTTATTATTATAATTCTACAACAGATGTTTCATTTTTAATTCTCATAACGTCTGCTTTTTCCATTTATTTTGATGATCATTATTTTCTTTTTTTTTTTAACTCTTCCTGTTTCTTTTAATACGTTTATTGTGTCCTTCCCGTTTCTGGGTGTGTTTCTTGATGCAGTGACGATTGTGAGAAAAATACAATAGAAATGAACATTGATTATTGGTTCGTAGGATTGATTCTTTTACATTAGTAACTATTTATACACCAAACGATTATCAAAACCATATCAGAAATTATATTCATTAAATCAAGGCGTCAAAACTGTCATCTTCTCATGACAAAATGACAATGCTAAAACGGATACAGAAAGAAACCGGATATAAATATTTCCATATTAAAATCCGCCTGTGAACCCAGCTAACAGAATGTTCTTACAACTTTACCTACGATCAAATCAGACTAAAATCACCGATTCTCATTCGAATACCGAGGTTAAGCAGCATCGAACCCGGTCAGTATGTAGATGGGTGACCGCTTGCGAACACCGGCTTTTGTCAGTAATCTTCTCCAATCCGAAATAAGCTTCGGCTTTAAATAATTCACAAAATGTTGAAGTCATTTATAAAAATCAGCCAATCTTGCAACTTTATAGACAAGTTGTATTTTGGTTGGTGGATATGTGACGTTGTAGTGAAGTTAATGTTTATTTCCAATCAACCATTTTATTATCCCAAAATTGACTGTTCATCCATAACGTTGTCACAACGGTCCGGTGTTTGAATAGAATTTATTATCCATTTTCTGTTAAGGTAAAGTTACAAGCTAAAGCTATGGAGAACCAACAAAAAAATCGGTTTTATAATCGGTATGTAACGTTGCAGAAACTATATTTTTAGCTGGGTATATAGCGAAAATAACATTAAGAATACAAATAGATTTGCATTGAATACTGTTACTATATTTGGTCTGGTGCCCGCGCTGTTCATCTCGAGGTTCTCGACAAAATCCAAAGACGGATATGCAATGTGATAGGTCTTGACCTGGCAACTCGACTACAATCACTTTCTCACAGACGTGATGTTGCTTTGTGAAAATAAAAATTGCTTACCTCATCACTGATATTCAGGTTTTATTATCTCCTTTGGCTTAGCCTACTTGTGAGTCAGCATAGTGGCTCATACGAAGTACTGCTCAAAAAAGTTAGACTGAAAGACCGTAATTCATTTGACTGTGCACCATTAAAAATTATTTGAGTAATTTAAAAAAAATACGTTTTGCTTTTAGTTTTTCACTTAAAAAAACTGCAAATTTTCCAGCATTATTTTCAAAAGATTCGCGATATGATGACAGGGTTAATTTGGCACCCAGTCATCATTTTTGTCTGAAGTTCCTGAAAATTTATTCGAAACTACATTATCAAGTATGTAGGTTATATAATAGTAGGAATTACTTTCCCAAATAAATATTTTAACCCGCTTCCATGACGTGGACGTATATATATATATACATTTTCAAACACGGACGAATAAACACGTCCATTTTTTTATGTCCTTCTGAGCTTGAAACGAGTTTCGTTGTCAAATCATCCGTCCGTTACAGATGTTAGCCAAAGCTTAGGTATTTCATGTTTCCTCTGTTTCTTAGTTTTCTCGAACAAAAATATTCGTCTGAAAATGAAAGGTTTTTCCCAAAATAATTGGCAGGGGAGGGGGCAGGTGTTAATGCATATATTTTCGTCGATAAAGTTCTCGCATTAAAAAGAAAGCAGTATAAAACAGGTATCTGGATACATTGATATTCCACGTGTGTTGACAAGTAAGATTATCCCTTGTCTTATGAGTCTGCTCTTCTTTCATCTTTGTCTGTATCTTCCCAAATTCCCCCTTATCCTTTTCAAACTTCATTGCGAATCCAGGCATTTTTCTAATATTTTCGAAACGTGGATTAGTTCTGTATGCAAAAAAAAATAAGGAAGGCGCAAATATTTTCTTCTTGACTCTCTTTTTTATCGATTTACTATATCACAAATACTTATCCCTCTACATCTTTTTCTACTTTTCATTTTTTTCTTTCTTTCTTTCGTTTACATCACTTCAACTCAGCCCTCTCTTCCCCCCGCTCTCAATATACATATACATACACAGACGCGCGCACACACACACACATAACATCATACATACATACATACATACATATATATATATATATATATATATATATATATATATATATATATAGCAGGATAGATTGGGTTCTATAGCCTTTGATGGCAACTAGAAGGAGGTCAACTCTGAATTCAAAACCTGCGGATGGTCGGTTGGGAACGTTTGTGGTAAACGGTTCACCAGATCTCTATATCCGGTTCATCAAAAAGTGTGGTTGGTTCTGCAAAAAACCTTCAGCATTATAATCAAATCATATATGCAGGTTGTCTGGCTGTCGGTTCATAGGAACTGAATGGTCTGACCCTCATACGTCGTCGTAGGGTTTGTTATCGCGGGGAAGACAGTCCGGCAGAGATTTATCTCTACCTTCCGTTGCATAGCCGTGCTTAGGATCCTTGGTCGGTGTGGATCAACGGTCTGCGGAGATCTACGACGGGAGAGTCCCATCATATATATATATATATATTCCAGTTTTTTTTTGTTTTTTTTTTTAATAGAACGGCATTCCATTGGTCACAATTGTTATCATGAAGATTTTGGTTGCATTCTAATGCATTGAGTGTGTTCTTAACGCTGGTGTTTAGAACAAAGAACTCTCCTGTTTTCGTTTAATGGGGAGTTGCTGCCGAAGAGTTGGATAACTGGGATCAGGCTTTCTTAATTCTTTAAAGTGAAGAACAGATATTAGCTTTTTGATCCCAGACCGACGCCTGGTAAAGAATCGTTGATCAGAAGCAAATGTTAACATTAATAATAATAAAAATAACAATTTTCAGTTGATCTCAGAAATAATCTACAATTTGTTGTTCACCTGGGCAAGAAATGGTTTGTTAGTCTTAACACCTCCAAAGAAAAACTAAGAGAAACGTTTTTACTCCCACCTGTATGCCTGAAGTTAACCCCCAGGAGAGTGACTCATTGAACCTTGTAGAGCTAAGGTTTTCCGCTGATATAAATTTGAAATATTACATTGAATCAATTGCTCGGTCTGGTGCTATAAAAGTTGGTTCACTGTGTCGATCTAGACAATTTTTCTTGCTAGGATCGATCTTACAAATTCCTATATTTAACCATGCATCGAATATTGCCGTCACATCTACTTTTGTGCTTCTACTATATATTTACAGATTCTTGATAAGGTCTAAAGAAAAATCTGCAATATCATCTGTCCCGACCTGGTATCTCAACTTCAATCATTTTAACACCGGTATAACGTAGCTTCTCTGCGGCTTATCTGTAAATATTTTCATAACTGTTCTGATGAGTTCTCCTCTTTGGTACCTCGGCTTTAAGTGCAGTACTAAATTGGTAGCTATGTCCCATCATTCGTCACCCACAAATACTAAATGAAACCGTAATATCTATGGTAAGACTTTCTTCTCACTTATTTCTCGCTTGAGGAACTCTCTTCCGGAACTCTCTTCCGGGGTTTTATTTCCAGACAACTTTTATCTTCAAAAATTTAAATTCAATGCCAATCGTTATCTTCTGTCTTTCTGGTATTTTTTGTTCTCTCTCTTTAATAACGTTTTTCTTTTTCTCATAATCTTTCACACTTAGTAAGACTTTGAAAATTAGTGGCTCTATTGCCTTGCTTGGCGCGAAAGGATTAAAAAAAAGAATTTATCTAAAAGTTTATAAAGTAAATAAAACTAATTCACCATAAATACTGGATATACTAGAAGATTAGAAGACCCACAAAATCTGTGAGATGAACGAAAATATTTAAAAGCTGAAGATGCTGAAAATCGGCAAGAATAGTGAGGTGAAATTTGCAGAGACCTGCTGTCACATGATCCTCTCATAGAACGTTTCCAATTATTTACTGTGCGCACATTCATAAAATAATGATTCAATGAATTACATTTAAAAAAAAATAATCAAATTTTGTTTTCTGTCATATGTTGAATGAAGATTGATGTTTTTATCCAAAATGTTAAAAAAAGAATAAAACGTAAAAGAGAAAAACAGATAGACGATGTGACTAACAATGACAGACATTTTGCGATGTTTTTTGAAACTGAGAATATTTTTTACAAGTTCACGATTTTTATGCTGTCTTTACTGTACTTTTTATAAAGAGAATCATGTCGTCCTCCATACAAGTAGTTGCATATAAAAATTTTGTCTTCTCTCCCAGTGTATTTTAAACGGTGAAGGAAGGAAAACATGTGTGTGCTTTCATCTGTATGCAAATCCGCTGTTGATTAAAAATGTCACGACACCAAATAAAATCATTCTACCTTGCCAATAGCTTGAAGAAGTGGTGATAGACATGACAGGTGGTGATGTGGTTAGCATTAAAATATATCTTATCTTGTCGATGGGAGAAGACGTAAAAAGTGGCGATTTATTTGGTTATTGGGGGAAATTCTCTGCCTGAATTTATCCTAGTTCTCCAATCTCCATATATCGGTTCTGCCTTTTCGGTAACCACTTCTCGTCTTTGCTAAGTTTGTAATAACTATTCTCTTTTTCAGTTAAATGATGTAAGACCTTTCCTCAAAGCTCTCCCTAAGAAACGAAATGACCAAGTTTGACTGAATCCATTAATTGAATTTCCTTGTTAAATTGTTTAATACTTGTTTTTTTTTTTATCCGGTGAAATTTTCTTTTAACAAGTTTTTTGTATTGTTTTTACTGAAATAAAGTTGTCACTTAATTTGCAAAATGAGTCTCTAGAGAGACAGAAATTCGAATTGTTAAATTTCTTCTTTTTTTTTTTTTTTGTAACCAATGTGAGCTTTCGAAAAAGGCGGCTTCATTTTCTGTCCCTTACAGCCGATCTAAAATAGTCACATCCCATCTCTCCTCTTGCTTGCTACCACCCATCACATTAAAATAAAAGTTTGTCAACACGAAAGCAGAATAAGTCAAATAAAGTATAATGACAAAAGTACGCAGGTGTAGGCTTTAAGAAATATTTATTCAACTGAGAATACACGGTTTTCGTATAGTGTCCTTTTATAGTCCCAGTAAATAGAAATAGATCTCTTCTGAGTGTATGAGATGTAAACAAAAGACTGGAAAACTTACAGCGCGTATGGACTTAGTGAAATAAGATACTGATAGAAAACGCTATCATTTTTTAAATCTTTGGAAATATATATAAATGGAAATATTTTGAGAGATGCCTTATAAGATTTCATTGTATTTTTCAGACATGTTATGAACAGTTGCAGTGTTCCCGTTCAAATGAAGAGAAGCATTCCATATTCCTGGAACTTACCAAGCTGCTTGGCATCACATTTGATCTTCTACGCGGCAAGCAATCCCTTCACTTCACCGCCCTGAGTACAGTTAACCGAATTCTAGATCTCTGTATCTACCATCGAAACTATGAAAGCGGTTCCTTGACGCTAAGCACCGAAAATGTTGCCGCCTGTCCG